AGCCATGCCAGTTGGAGCAGTGGGTGTGGTGCTGCTGAAACCTCTTTGGGGTCCATCCAGACCTGCTGGGACAGCACTAATGGGGCAAAGCAGACAACACCTTCACAGTGATTGCAATCAGAACAGCCTGCAGAATCAATACCCTGTTTCATCTGAGATCTGCAAAACAGCAGAAAAGACCAGCAGAGCAACACTACAGAAGTAAACTGAAAGGCCAACTCTGTGTTGTCAACCCTTCCAGACTAACCAAGAACGTGCAGGATGCTTTGGATGTGTTCAAAGTGCAAGGAATGAAGGAAGCAAAGGAAAGTGTGGGGCAGGAAGCTTCTCCAGGGCTAGATTTCCAGAGAGGCAAAGCTGTCACTCAGAAGAAGAGGAAGAAATCCTTTTTACAAAGCACAGCTGTTCTCAACTGTTTCCCAACAGTGAGGTGATGATACGAAGGTGCTTCGAGTTCATGATGCTTCTGATGCTTACAAAGGTAAGTTTAGGAAGAATTGTGACAAGAATGAATATGTATCAAGTAGCACTGATGACAGGCTTGCTTTTGAGTAGATGATGTGATGTGCTGGTGCAATATCCTAGTTAACAGCAGGCCAAATATATACCTGTTTTGGGTTTAGAGTTCCTTGCCCTTGTGAAACTGTGAACAGGTCTTCAACACTTCAATGTTTTCCTCAGCCAGACTGAGATGAGCTCGTTTTATAAACAGCCAATCTTACCTCAATCCGAGCACGAAGGAAGTGCCATGGCAAACTCCATAACAGAGGTGGATGGAAGACTTCATATTCCATCTAAGCCTCAGTGACTTTTCTTAACTCCGTAATTATTTGTCTGAATTTCACACTGATTACTGGACTATTGCAGGGCTTCAGATTTTCCATTTATCTAAGTTCCTCTAGGCTTGTTGGGCTCCTACATTTTATCAAATTTTCCCTTACCTTTAGTGCAATTTGGTTTTAACTCATGCCAGCCTGTATGAAGGAACCTGTGCTAAAAGTCCCACAGCGCTTACTTACGGGGAAATGATATTTGGCATACTTTCATTTCTAGTTAGGAAAAGTGCTTTTGAACAAGAACCAAGTCATTGAAAACATAGAACATGGCCTTAATTAGCAGAAGAGCAAACTCCACTTTACAGTTTCATCACCCCCCTTATCTGTGCTGTGCCTTGGTGTCTGGTAGGAAAGGAAAAGCTGTGATAAGCTAATGATGTCTCACGAGTGCTGAGGTTGTTACAGCACTTTGCAATCCTTGCTTGGAAAGTACCAGAGATGCACAGAATTATCAGAGCAGCATAATCCCCCAGTCCCCCCCTTGTCAGTGGAATCAGCTCTACCACAAGGGGACTAAGGCATGGAAGAATGAGATACTGGAGGCTTCTTTCACTACTCACTGGCTCAAGACAGAGTTCTAAATAACTGTTAGAAAGAAAGTAACATCTTTGGGGAAAAAAAAGGCCACAGAAATATATCTGGAGGTAAAGAACAGGAATGCTGTTTTTGAGTTGCTAAATTCAATTTTCTCTAGAAATTACCCGAAGAAAAAAAAGTTGTACTTCTATAAATTATGATTCCTGGACTATTTGTATATAGAAAGGTTGGGGATAGAGAATAGAAGCAGAAAATAGAAATGAGATTTCTTTAAATTGTGCCCTATTGTCAAGTATACAGATGGACTGAAGTAAAAAGTGGCAGAATTCCTGCAAGCCCTTGAAGCATTTTTCAACAGAGACAACAGTGGAAACCACTTCCGAGTGGCTTCTAAGCTCTGGCAAGTGTGGCATGACACACTGGGAAAAGAAATGTTTTCCAAGAATGGATTGTGGCACAACAGACATTTCCTGAAAGTACTGTGCATAGAAGGTGGTTGGTATGTCCTACTGATGGTCTCGGTTCTTTGAAATAAAGTTTGCATACCATGAACAAGTAATTATCGGTTCTTAGAAGTACGGTTCTAAACAAGTAAGTATCAGTTTTTAGAATATCAGTGAAAATTCAGTTAAGCAGGAGAGAAAGGAGCTGTGCTGTGCTCCCTTCACTACTTCAGTGTTGAACTTTTTTTTCCTGAAAAAGTTTAGAGACATTCCTCTGTGACTTGGTTGGCATTTTGACTGCATTTTACCTACTGCTAAGTTCTCAGATCTCTTACCCAGATTGTCTTAAGGCTACAAACAAACCAAACTATAATTTCACAAGCTATTGCACAATTAGACACACACACACTATAACGAGCATCCTTGCACTACTTTGAGACATTTTTTCCCCCCCTTTAACTAGGGAGAGGCTTTAATGTTACAAGCAGGTGGAGAACCAAATCTGAGTAAGCCAGTTTGCAGTAAAGGAAATAATCCTGCACAGGCTGAGCTGCAGTTGACAAACTTTAGCCTTTTAAAAATTATCCTATATCTTCTTAAATTACTTTGCCTTGGTTGTAGTAACAGAAAAAGTGCAAGATGCTTCTTCAACAAGGAGAAATCTTAACTTTCCCCAACCCTATCCACTTCCAGTCAATAAAAGAAGATGAGGGGGAAGAGTCATCTGTGGATATAGACTACACTTTGGTGGCTTTTGCTTGTTGGCTTCAAGAGCCAAAATTCAGGCATTTTGTACATACAAATATATATAAATATTTTTGCTTACTTATGGAATGTTTGTGCATGATAAGAACAACAGTTCCAAATGATGAGGGATGTTTAAGGCTAAGAAAATGAAATTCATTGCAAAGCTATAATTTTGTTTTCATTTTTCTCCTTTACAAAGGAGACCAAAGCATCTTCCCTGTAATAGTCAGCCACTGTGTAATCCCCCGTCAACACCAATTCTAGGGAAAACTACTCAGGACCCAGTCCCTGAGGCAAAAAGCTAGGATCTCATGATTTGAGCTCAAGTAATCCGCATAATTAACTGCATACATTGGTGAAAAATTAAATATTTCAAGGCCTCAGGCCTATAGCCATCCAAAAAAAGAAAAGGCATTTTCTGTATGGGATGGCCTAGATCCAGGCCTTTAAGCATACATGATGTAACAATTGGCCAAGGGCTCCAGATTTATCCCAGGGGCTTACAGTGTAGCTGGAGAGTGGTCTGCCTACTCCTCAGAAATGCCAAGTGGCTCCAAGGTGGTGTTGGAAACCATCCCATGTCTGCTGGGGGCAGGGGTATCCTGCACATAGCCCAGCATGGCATGGGAGTGTAAGGAAGCTGGACTCTTCATTTAAGCCATCCCATCAGTAAAGTTCCAGCCGTACTTTTCCTTACTGCCCCAGTTTCAACTACCATATAAATTTACGGGATATAATGAGCTAGTAGCTACACTTCCTGATCCAATATAGGCTGGCATTGTCTGAAGCAGGGAGCAATAAGAACACTCTGTGAAATTTCCTGAAAAAAAAGAAAAATATAGGTTTATATTGCTGAACATTTATTTTTCATGCTTCAGGCTAGCTGCTGTCTCCCTTTGAATACTTAGAAGACCGACAAGAACCAGCTATCAAACACACTCAGTCTGAAGAGGGGTGGGCTCAGTTCTCTGCAGGGTCAAGAAATTCTGAACTCATCCTTGGGTTCCTGTGCAGCTTGGCATGGTCAAGGGCTAGGGTGGTAAAAACCCACCCCCTTCTTTTGTGGTTAGGAGGCCTCAGTGAGCACAGTTTTGTCCTTTCTCCCATGTTTCCTGGGTGGAGACCTTGTGGACTGAGCAGTGAAAAGGATGCTTAGGAATCCCGCTGCTGTTCATTGTGCAGCTGGCAGGCAGAGCAGGATGTGTGGGACAGGCTCCAGGCTGTCCAGAACCACCATGGAGTCAGTCATGGCATCCTCTTCTCTCCTTGCAACCAGGTGAGATCTGCCTCTAGGTCTATGCCAAACAGTAAGACTTTGGTGGAAACAGAAAGGTGTCAGTGCAAGGATACTCCATGGGTTAGTCATTTACTAACCCCTGCTGGATTCTTCCTCTCTTGTTATTTACATGCTATGCATTTGCATGTCACAGAATGATGAAATCTGAGAAGTTTGCAAATTTATGTTGGTTACCCTCTACTGCCTCTTGTCAGATAGATGTAACCTGGTAAGAATTACACTGATGAATCAATCATTCACTCCATTCCTCTTCAATCAAGTCTCGAGTCATTCTTTGGGAGTAAAACTTTTCAGGCTTAGGTCCTCTAATCAACATGGTTTTCTGCCCTGTAAGTTAATGCAATTCTGTTTGTGCCCATCACTGCTAACCTTCAGAATACAGAGTTTTTTGATGATTGAGTTGTGGACTGAAATCAATAAAGTGTAGAGGGCAGGGTAGTAGTTCCCCTCAGTATTGATTCCCTCATTTCAATCATACCTCTCTCTCAGCATTGTTTTCTGAAACTCCAGTGGCTTTCAGATTCCACAAGCACCAAAATATGGCCTTGACCATCAGCCCACGATGATGCTTGTCCTCTACAGTGTCACTCAGAACAGAAGAACCCTTTGGGCTTGCTCTGTTTTAGCAAGGTTTAAGGTTGGTTTCAACTGGACTTCTTTCCTTTTCTAAGACACAATGCTACGTTATTTTGCTAAACATGTAATCTGCTTAATTACAACTACTGTGACAAGCCCTGAACTCTACCAAAAGGAATTCCTATAGAACACCCCACAGTGATAATGGGAAACACTTGGCTATTAGTGACTTTTATTCCTGCCAACTGTGCGCCAAACAAAATTCTAAAGTGGACCAAAAAGGTCTTGACAGTTACCAAAGAAAAAGCAAGAAATTATTGTTCTTAAAACTTTAACAGTCCATTACATTAGCTTTTTAAGCAACATTTAAGATACAGTTGAAATCAAGAAAAAATATAGTTGGTATATTTTGATTTCTCACCTGTACAACTGACCGTGGCAGTTAAGATGTGAGGCAGTATTACTTACTGGTTTACTCACTGTTAATTACAGTAATTAACAGTAATTAATACTTAGAGTATTAATCACTGTTTGTGTAAAAAAATGTTTCATCATGGTGAAAAAAGAAAATCACTGTAATGTATTTGTAATTTTAAATTCACTAATGTACTTGGTTTCTCCTACTTTTCCTGTGTTCTAACTGGGATCAAATTGTCTTATGTTACATTAATAAAAACGAAGGGGGAAAAAAGAAACAAAGAAAGAAGAAATCATGACTGGTCCTCAGTTCCTGGCTGCCTGCCTGTGAAGGTGGTGTTTGTGCAGATGCCTGCTGCAGTGTCCCAGCGGAGGACAGCAGCAGCGACGCCTCGCGGGACGGCAGCCGCGCTCAGCCACAGCCCACGGGGCAGCCTCGCGGGCTTGTCCCGGAATTTAGCAACTCCCAGGAAGGTGCAGAGTTTCCTGTAAGGCCCATCTAGGACTGCTGAGCTGTGCCAGCTTCTGACAAGCTCTTGGCCCAGGAGGAACTTTACAAGATGACCCTGTTCAACAAATAGCATTGAGATGACGGCTAATTTTAAGTCTGTTTTCGGTGTACAGATTCCCACAGGGCATTCACATACGGAATTTTGTGTCAGCTTTTCCAGTGGCACTTTCTGCATGAGATGTTTACATCCAGCTGATACTAGGAACAAAGTTTGCACCTCTCTAGTGGCATCACTCGGCGTTTTTGGATGACAGCACTGGTGGTGTCACAAGTTCCTTGCTTTGCTGCTCCAGGTGTGGTATCTTCTGCTTTCCCTCCAGCCCCTGCCTATGCCACCAACGCAAAGCATCAATGGGTGGGTGAGGTGTCCTCCAAGCCCAGAAGCTCCTTTACAAGTCTTTCACCAAACTGTGCACGGCTGTACCTTGTCACATGGTAGGCCTCTGACATTTTGTAGAGGATGTAGGCATTATTTATAGCAATGCTGATGGCAAACCAGAACACTTGTTGCCAGGTCTTGTTTGGTTTGTGAGAAATGAAATACCTAAAAGCCAAAAAAAGAGGGTAAAACATTGTTCAGCCAAACAGTTGCAGCTGGGATGCAAGAAATCACCCCAAAGATCCTGCAGTCCCAAAGGAGAAGCAGACATGGGACTTAACGCCTGGTTCAAGTATTATTTTAAGAAATTTTGTACAATGTATTTGACAGACATTAACAGCAAATTTGCACAATTTTGGACATTTCTGGTAGTATGTAAAAGAGCAGACCTCCTTGCTCTCAGAAGCAAACTTCAGCAATAATCTCACCTCTGTATCACTCCATGTAAATAAGAGTACTGATAAATATTCCTTGAGCTCACCCATGACAAATATCCTTGTGATAGGAGAGGTAGGTCTGAATCCCTTCAATTTGTAACTAAAAAAAAAGCCTCAGTCACATTACATTACAATTTTGGGAAGCTTGCTGATGCTTCTCCTCAGATTTATTGTGAGCAAAGGATGATTGCTGCTGCTGTCAACAGTAGGTGGGAGGATGTGGGGGTAGAGCGAGAGCGTACACTGCTGGTAGGTGGACCACAAGGCAGAACTAGAAAGGACTGACATCTTTATATTTAGGCTCTGACTTATTCTAGGACTGCCAGAATATTCTCTCTTCAGTCATAAGATTTCCCATTCTCCCATTTTCCTACTTTCATTTTTTTAGTAACCATTTAAATCTACTACCCGCATTGATTTCCTCAGACCAGATCCCAACATCATTCTCCAGTGACCACCTCCTCCTCTGTCATATATTCTACTGAATTCTTGCTGCCTTGCCCAGAGCTGGCTTGAAAAATCTGTGCTTTTTCTCTCTTCTCAATTTCTAGTTCTTGAAATCTTCTGTACCTCATTGCTATTCCCACAGCCAAGCTTCACCACTGCTATTCTTACTCCCTGCTGTTTCTCCCTGCTACATTAAGAGCTAACACTGAGGACACCAACTGGAATTCAGAAGCCAAAGTTCTACATTCTGCCTCTCTTTGTGTAGATCAGTTTTACATGCAGAACTGAATGTCTTTTTCCTTCTGGCTCCAAGTGATGCAAATATCACCAGGACAGATTATCAACTAAACACCAGCTACTGCTAGAGGTGGAGAGCTGAGTTAGCCTGAGAGACTTGTGGGGCTAGTAGACCCTTGGTGAATTCTCTATCAGTCTGCTGGCTCATCCTCCCATCACTTCTTAAAAGTCATTTATAAGATGCAAAGGACCTGTGTCTTAAAATTTCTTTTTTTTTTTTTTGTCTGATGGATGGGTAGACAGAGCCAAACCAATACCAGCAATGCAGTTCTTGCTTTGTGCAAAGCCAGTATCTGACCTTTGATTTAAACAGAAGTTCTGTCAGAGAATCAGTGAAAGCAGCATCGGGCCCTCAGATGCAGCTCAACATGAACAACTCAAACCTTGCAGCAACAGAGAAAATGTGAAAGAGGTACACACAAACATGCACATCTTCTTACTTACTTGCTGTATTTATCATCATATTTGCAGATATAGCTAAGGTGAGCAGCAAAGGCTTCAACTGCCAGTGGGCATGGAATTTCTCCGCTTTTTCTCTTAATTATAACTCCTGCATCAATTAGAAACATAACAGTTTTAAATTGACATCATAATTATAGCTACTGAAAAATATGTTTTCTATATATGACTTATAAAATAAATATTATTGACAGTTTTCCCCCTTAAGCTGGAAAATTATCTGTAATAGAGATGCTAATTTGATTTCTTTTCCCACAGGTAGTACATTGAACAAGTGGAAGGGGAAGAAAAGGGATCTTTTTTCAGTTGGAAATGAAAAGGTGCTAGACACAAACATCTTTAGCATATATTCAAAGGAACCCACACATTCCTGTAGTCCCACAGCAGCCCCCTATAGACAGTGTTAATCTCTCCTTTTTTGGCTCACAAGAAGTTGTGGTCACCTCTAGAGCAGTAACTTGCTGTTACATGCTTTGAATTCTGGAGGTCCCAAATTAGTCCCTTGAAATTAAATCCTTTGCTTATTTCCACCCATGGGGACCAACAGGGGACCTTCCCCTCTCTTCACTGGGTGCCAATTGACACAGAGAAGAAAATACAGTAAGAAGGAGCCAACTGGCTGAACTCAGTGAAGAGAGAAGTGAAGCTGGTGGGTGACTGCAGTCTCAGAAATGAAAAGCAGCCTCGTTCCAGCTGCGGGGAGCCAGAGCTCAGAAGTACCCGTAGGTTGCTCTCTGGAGATGAGCACACATTTCTTTGCCCGCAAGTGCTGCTTCCTGTCCTGCCTGCACAGCTGGCTTGGTAATTCAGCTCATCATAGGGGATGGCCATCCTGCCTACTCCAGAAATCTGTGGAAAGTCAACAGGCATCACCCTGCAGCCTTCTACCAACCACTCTTTGCACAGGCAGGTGCTAGAGCAGGTTATTCCAGAAATGGGCCCCATTCCTTCATGTAGTCTATCTTTGACCTGGCCTTATCCAACACTCCTGCAGTATTTGTGAGTCCAATGTCTTCCTAAGAAACTCCCCTAACTCTTTTCTGATGTATTGCTCCTGGAGAAAGCTCCCTGTAGGAAGGAAGGGTGGGTAAAACAAACTTGGAGCATAGGAGTCTCTTCCCTAACTTTTGATGTTATGCCCCCACAGGTTTCAGTCGTGGGCTCTCCAGGGTATGGAGCACCACTTACTCCATGGCTACGGCACACTGCCCAGTGAGGCTCCCTTCTCTCAGGTACAACACTGTTTTGTCCAGGTCTAGAGAAGCACAGGCTTGGTTGCATCCTTTCTCAGCATTGTTTCAGGACAGGTACAATCCTTGGCTTTCTCATTTCTCAAGCTTTCAAGAAAATTTCTTCACCTTCCTTCTACCAACTCTTTTCCAATCAGCCCTTAAATGCTACTCACGTTTTGATTACAGACTTCACCATTTCAGTCCTCCAGCTGGAAGTCTCATTCCATCCATTATCTCTGTCAAGCCCCCTGTGCTGTCCTAGCTGGCAGGCTCTATTTTGAAGCTAGTATGTGACATACTAAATGTCATGTTGCAGCTGAGCCATGCAGAAATTTATTTCGGGTGTTTAAAGTCTGATTTTTCAAGAGTCCAAAATTATATTACCTCTGAATTGCTCAATACACTCTCCTTTCACCTCTGCCTCCTCAAGCTGGGTGTAAATGTAGCCCAAGGAGTGGGGGGAAAAATCAATCAAACAAAAAAATTTCTTCATTACATTCATGTAATTATTATAGTGTGGTTTTGATTCTTTTAATGAGTCCTACACATATCTGGCCAGCATGAGGTAAAAAGAGCAGATACACCACCAGCCTGCTGCATTAGTGCTGCAAAATCACTTGCCATCTCATCAGGGCAAGTCAGGAAAGGGTAAGTATGGGTAAGCATTAAAAAAAGAAAAAATCACCTTCTTTCTCCTCTTGCTCTCTTCTCTTTCTTCGCCTTCTCTTCCTTTGGAGACTTTGTACTTCCTTTGCAATTTGCTTTGCATTCATAATCTTTAAAGGAATGCATTGCAGTGGCAGAACCACATACTCCCTATCACTTTCTATTATATTCCCCATAACATTCCCCTGTTTTGAGAATATAAATAGCTGTATAGCAATTCTATTTTTAGCCTTTCCTAGGCTTGTTTCACAGCCATAGCCCACCTTCCCTGGAAGACAACTGCCAGAGCTGGGTCATTCCTATCTGCAGGTCTGTGTGGCACGTGGTCCTGAGCTAGCTGACTCACCGGCACATCCGATGGATGAGCCATTTCCCCTCCTGGTCCTCCCCCAGCACTGCTGTGTTCCCATCCCTGGCAGCACTCCAGGGAACACACCACCTGCACTGCAGCCACAGCCTGCCTTTGCTTCCATGCTGGAAAGGGTGCTGACTGCTGGCCTCCATCCTGTCACCATAGAAAGGCATCACCTTTTGGGTTTGGTGTTCTTTTAACCCATTTTTGTTTTTAATTTAAAATTTTAAGCTGTATCCTTGTGAAGCAAAGCTTGAGAAATACTACCTCAAACAAAATAAGCCAAAAGACAAAGGTTTGCATATGTTTGTTTCCTGAAAACACTATCTAGAATCATGCTTTTTTGAAAATGGGTATCCCACTAATACCAGCACTTGCATCCATCTTGTCAAACCTTGAGATTTCATAACAGTACGGAAGAAGGGGTATTGCATGATCCAAGTGCTATCTGGATTTTTATCAGGACTTCAATTTCTTACACTCTTTATTGGAATTGCCAGCATTCAGCGTTGGACAAGGTCTGATGATCAAGGTCTTCCCACTGGGGTCCTCCAGCCCCATCCCCAATCTCACCATACTTGGACACAACCTCCTAGTCTCACAAAGGACACATGGAAAAGGTAAATTGAAAGTCTAAGCTTATCCATTCTGAAACATGCTTTTTAACACCATACTTCTTTCCCCAGATTTTCCAATTCTGGGCCAATCTCACGAGCTGATTTTTTTTCAGGTCACCAGTCACCTGTCACTCTAGCTTCTCCTGGAGTAAGAACCACACAGAGACTCAAACAACTGCTTCATTCAATTGTGATGGCTCCACAACATCTCCCATCTTCTCACAAGTCACTTTTGAGATGCTAACATGCCATCTGCAGCTCTTTATTCCTTGCACATGTGGCCCAAGCTCTGTTTTCTATGCTTAGTTATTGACTGTTTAGCTTTTAAGTAGAGCTAGTTGGTGAAGAGCAGCTGTGGAAGTTCTTCTCAGAAAGAAGCTACTTAAAAAGACCTTGGGTTCAAGAGTTTTTTGCTGAAGATGTTATTCTGGGCATCCTACTGGGCAGCAAGTGAGGTCGCTGCCTGTTCCATCCTGCTACATATGGAAGGTAGAAAAGATTGCAATTATTTCTAGAACACAATAATGGAGATGCTGAGGAAGTGGGCATCAGATCTAGAGTGAAAAACCAAAATGCAGCTTTTTCCCACAGATGGGGAGATTTGGACCAGCACACAGATGACCTGCTTTAGAATAAGTTGACTTTTTAATCTCTGGGGGTCCCTATCTCTTTTGAATTCTCACTTCCTCTGTAATATAAGCACAAGGAAAAATTAAAGCTTAAGAGCAATTAAAAATCTGACCGGATTTTGTTCTAGGCAGAAACTACATACTTGATAGCAGAGTAAGCAGGATATGTTTGCAAGACCAAAGGAATTAGAGCCATCCTTGAGTATCTGAGATGATGTACTATGACATGCTGGTTTAAAACATCCATTATAAATAACCTTCTGCATCTAAAAATAGTATTCACAGATCTGCTCTGATGAGTGTACTGCCCTCCTGGTGCCTCTGGCTTGGGTGGGATTTGCACTCCAAGTATAGGCAAGATTTACCTTCTTGACTTTTTTTAAAATTGCAATAAATAGTTAATTATTAGCTCTGTCCACCTCTTTTCTCATCCTAAATGTCCTGTTCACCATCTTTTGCCCACTGTTTCTAAGGTTTTCTCTTCATGGCCTCCTCCAGCCCACGCACATTTACACTCAGCCAAGTGCAAACACACTGTGCATCACAGACAATCCCACTGGCACCAGTCTCTGTTCAACTACCCCACGTGGCTTTTAACCCTGTTTAACTACCTCCTCTCCCATGTGACATGGGCTGAGCACGTCTGTGCTACAGGCCTGCCTCAAGCAGCACAGATTTCTCCTCTTCCTCCTCTATATATGCATATCTTAGAGGAGACTGGTGGTCCAGCTTCTCTTGAGTTGGTTTAAACTCTCTTTGCTGCACTGACTTCAGCGATGCCAAATCAGAGGCAAGCAATCTGGTCTCTTGCCTTCCCACCGAGCTTCCATCTGTTCCCATGTCCCTGCTAGAGACTCTTTGCCCAGCATCACACTTTAAGAAGCCAGGCTCTGTTTTCTGCTCTGATTCACAGTGAACTATGTCAACTGTCCCAGACAGAATTTGGTGAGCAGTGAGTTGGGAAAGCCTTGTCCATCACACACAAAGGTTGTAATCATAAATACCTCAAACATCACCAACAATCCCATTTATGCCAAAACAGACCCAAGGTCAATCACAAGCACAACAGGTCACACCTCCATGTCCTGCTTTTAAAGGATGCTGCCAGCACAGTCTGCTTTTGCTCCTCTTTTTAACAGGACAATTAACATTGATGTTTACAAACAGAGTATTTTCCTAATATTTATGAATTATAATCAAATGCTCCATGCTAGTCTATAAGAAATAAGTAGTAGTTTGTAGCGATAAGTCTTGTCCAGTTAGTGCTGCCGGATGATCTAAATCCAGCAAAAGATACAAACAAAACAGCAGAACTCTTGATGGTGAAAGCCCCTCATGGGGAGCTCCATTACTCCAGAAACTGGCTTGAGCAGGGTGTTCAAGTGTCATACTTCCTTTTCATAAATATTTTCAGCATTTGTGCTCAGGCATCAGTCCACCTGAATCACCAAGTTCTCACTCTGCTGGGATGCCCAGCACAATTCCTCAGGATCAGCTCATTGCTTTGCTTAGGCAATGAGCCTCCTGGCAAGGCATTGAACAACACACTAAGTCAGCTTTTTCAGCTTACCATACAGTAATTCCGGGCCTTAGCTTTGCTTCTGTAGTCTGTAAATACATGTAAGAGTTGCTTGGGATTCAGAAAATTAGTGTAGAAGATGCCTTTGAATTGGTGGCTTTGTATTTAAATGTTTATATTATACTCATTTGTCTCTGGCAGTTATACATAAATCTGAATTATAAAAAATTCTAAGAAACTGAAACAATATTCTCATTGAAAAACTCATTTCAATAAGTTTTAGTCATTGCATTTTACAGAAGTTTCCAAATGTTCTTAAAACCATCTTATACTTTCAAAAAGGAAAATATTTCAGTAGCAAGAAGCTCTCTGTAATTATTTTAACTGCCCGAATTATCTGTTTCAGTTTTCTTATTATCGACTGCCAAAATCAGTTTAACATACAGCAGGAAACCTTAATCATATCTACTTCTGGCAAAAAAGATACTTGTTTGTGACTAAGTTTTTACTAGATAAGAAAAATTAATTGTAGGATCTGCTTGGAGTTCAAAGTACATCATGACGTTTATTAATTTTTCTGTTGTAGCAATCCTACAAGATGCTTTGCAAATGGAACTAATATTGTCCTATGAAGCAATCATCTTCCTTTCTCTGACCATCAGCAAAGATATAATCTTAAAACCTGAAAGGAAAGTGCCTCTACCAGCTCAGGCAAGGATGCTGCATTAGCAGTAGGCTTTTTAACCTTTGTATGGGAAAGAAAGAACAGCTGTATGAAGATACAAAAGGGAAGTAATCATTACAGCTACTGTTTATCTAGGATGTATCATCAGTTACAATCAAGCTCTTTGTTCAGGCTTATTATCAATCTCAGTGACTCACTTTGGCTTGTGACATAAAGCATGTGCACTTTTGAGATGAGAATAGGAATATTGCTTACCTTGTTGAACTGGAGAATAGGCGTTGGTCAGAAAACGGAAGTACCCTTTATTGTACCAGCAAATCAATGACATGTTTCCCTTCATTCTTATTCTGTACTGTCCTCTGGACTGTGGAGTTGCAGAATTGTTCAGCATGGATGGAGGTAGGCCTGTGCAGTCACTCTTCCTGGTGCTCAGCAACCCACAGCAGTAAATCTCTGCATGTGAACAAACACATTCCCTATTAGCAAGCCATTGCATGGACCTAGAGAGCAAAGCCAGCAGAGCAAGCCTGAAAGACCTCTGAAAGAACTTCCCCTACAACCTTTTAGTCCAACATATATGTCAGCCAATTTGGTTTTCTTCTGTAATACCAAAGATTTGTGTCCTACAGACAAGTGCAGAAAGCCTGATCTCCTATGATGCTTTTAGTCACAATAATCTACTGCTTCACTGTGCTGCCACGATCTTGATTTTTAGCTCAATAGTCCTTGCACTTGCATCATCTGCTTTGCTAAGGAAATCCTGCTTAAGCAGCTGGAAACCACTGAAACCAATGGTTGATTTTAAAAAAGTGCATATGCCAGAAGGATGGAGAAGATGGAAATTTCAGTGAAAACTGATTTTAGGGCACTAAAGCAAGTGCCGATCTTGTCCTGCAAAGACACCAGAGGCTCTTGCAGGAGACCAGGAGACACAGTCTGTTGCTCACAGCTTCCTGGCCTTTTCATATGTGAGAGGCAATGAATAAATTCTAACACAACAAAATGTATCTCAATGCAGCCAGGCGGGCACAAACAAGGTTTGAAAACAACATTAATAACAATGCTTGAATTTTTCATTAGGCTGTGAAATACTAACAGCCTGTTTCTGTTAGTCCAAGAGAAGCAGATCTTCTTGAGCAAATTGTTCCCTGACTCAAAGAAATCTTGGATGGAAATTTCCATGGTCTCCCTCAGTTTTGTGTTAACCCATTTGAGTAGAAAAAAACAGTGGGCAAGGAAGCAGGTGACATCAGTGCACATCTTGTGGCGGTTTAAAGCTCATCTGTCAGCTAAGTCTGCTTGTTCAAATTTTTCATCCTGCTGAATTTTGCATTATATCCTTACAGTGAAAATACAAAGTCAGAATGCCGTGTCCCCTAAATATGCTACCTCTGTTCTTATGTTTCCATAAACATGTTACCTCTGTTCCTGGATTTCCATTTATGTGGCTCTTCTGTCTCTGTCTTTCTGGAAGCACCTAAGCTCTTGAGTGCAGGTGCAGCCTTTGCCCTCGCCTATAGTGATTGGCATGCTGAACATCCCCTCAACAGCTCACAGACACTACAAGAATACTAATAAATTAATTGCATCTACTCATGCATTGGTCCAGTTGCTGAGGGCAGATCTACAAAGAGCTACAGCTCTTCCATCAGAAATTTAAGACACTGATAGGAGAAGGTCAACTAACACAGCAATGGGAAAACTTCATTCTCAAGGGAGAAACCTGCACTCCACCAGTTATTTCTAATGAATTAATCAATCCCTGGAAATCTGTAAGTTCTTTCCACAAAAGAAAATGAGAAAAGCCTGATGACAACAGGCTTACAATCATTATAGAGGGAACTGCACCTCCAGTGGAAAGCTGATTTTTGATTTTTCTTTTTAAAAATTTCTTCTGTTGCTAAGAGGTACCCAAACAGTGTAGGTCATGTACCTGCAGACTATGCTATTAACATAGCAAACATTTATAGAGCTTTATTCTAGCCAATATTAAGATCTTCCTGCTTTGATAACAAACAAACCTGAGAAGAATTTCCTTAGCTGCCCAGAGTTTATTATTCATTGAAATGTGATACTTTTTCTAGGAGGCTGCAATGGAATAAAACCAAGCTAGTAACTACATTATTGTGCTAAAGCTTCAAACAGCAACAGCCATCTTTGAGATCCCATAATAATTAGCTGTAGCTTTTCCTTGTATTGTAGCAATAAGCCTGCAGAAAACTTCCAGCAGGTGTTCCACTCCTCTTGTAGAATAATGGGAACCATTTTCTCTCTAAGGAACACATCGTGTAGCCTTCCTGCTGTACAGCCCAGAAAGTGCAGCACTTCTGTAGATTTACTAGCATCTCTCATCATGGATGAAAACCTTAATCTACTGTGGAGGTTTTTAAAATCACCCAGTTACTATAGCAATAGAAGCAATAAAAATTACACCCATCTGGCTCAATGAAGTTTTTGTCGGTAATTAAATCAGAATCACAACAGGTGTTTTCTGCACACACAAGAGTGAGTGGAAACAGTTTGTTCTCTGGTCTTCTTAAACTGTAGGTGCAATATAAATGAATACACCTAAGATAGTTTAGCAAAGAAGAAGAAATGTGGTATAGTCACCCAAAACTCATTCCCAGAGTCTCTAGCCTCCAGAGAGCTTGTGCTGAAGCCTATTTCACCACATCTTCACTAGTACAGTTCACAAAGGCCATCAGGCTCGAGCTAATTCAGGCAAAAAAACACATTCTGCAATCATTTATTCTGCATGCGACAATGGGTCAAGTCAGAGCTGGGAAACCAGGATGGGGGCTGCTGTGGGGAACAGAAGTGAATTTGTTTTAGTCTATGTGCTGGAGCTGCAGGATCCTGCAAACCTTGTGGGAATGCCATGGTCAACCAGGCTGGCAGTTCTTGCAGCTTTGCCAACACCAGCCCTTCTGCAGAACAGAGACAGCTGCTCCTCCTGGTTCAGAACATGCAGAAGAGACTTTCAGGGATCATATGTTTAAGGGAAGCATGGAACACGGGGCTTTAGGAGGTTTTGTCCTCTATAAAGGACAATTCTAATGCTTAGAGAGGGAACAAGGGATGTGACTATGAATGAATGTCACAGCAAATAGCAGTGACAGCTGCTCTGTCTGCTCACAGAACAGAGAATCTGGGGCATTTCAGAGCAGGTTTCCAGTTCTATTCAGAGGCCAGTGAAAGAAATTCTTTGTATGTCCCCTGAAAAAAAAGGTCTATTCAGTGTTTGGATTTTGAAAAAGATCAAAGTGCTATCTTATTTTCTGAAGTTTTCTCAGTTCTTGGTATCTTCACGTAGGTCTTAGAATTATGTTCACTGACATCCCTTTATATTACAAGGCACACTATTGTCTCCTGTGGTACAGTGAAGGTGCTGCACCACAGGCTCTCAATAAAGAGAGAGAATTATTGTCTTTAACAATAATACATGTGTGGGCTAGGGTGAGGAAAAGTGAATGATAGTTAAGATTTTACAAAAATTTTTTATAGGATCACAGGGTCCTATGGATTAAAGAATAGTTCAGGCTGAAAAACAACTCAGGAGGTCTCTAGTCCCACCCCCTGACAGAGACAGTTGAGCTCTGAGGCCAGACAGTGCCATTCAGGGCTTTATCTTGTCTGGGCTTGTAAACTTCCAAGGACAGAGACTGCACAACCTGTCTGGGCATCCTGCTTCACTGCCCTCAGGAAAAATCCTGCATCTAGTCTGATCATCTTTTTTTTCAGCCTAAATCTGTTATTTTTTGTCCTTCCACAATGCAGCACTGTAAAGAGCCAGCTCCATTCTCATGATAGGGTAGCATAAGACTGCTGTTGCATCCCCCCAAAGCCTCTTCTCAACCTGAACAAGAACAGTTCCCTCCCCACAGCAGAGTATACTTGTATCCAGAGTATTCTTGCACTGGAGGTATGCTGTCTAAAACTGTAGGAGGCAATAATCACCAACCTTGACCTACAGGCTAGACTCCTGTTAACACAGCTTGGGACAGTGCTGACCACCTTGGCTGCCAGTGCATGCTGCTGACTCAGGTTCAGCATGCTGGTTACCAAGACCCCAAGTCTGCTCCATCAAGAATTTTGAAAGGAACTAATAGAGTTTTAGTGGGTGACTTTCCAGATTTTCCAGAATTGCCTTTAGCTGCCTTAAAACTTTCATGTTCCCAGAAAGTTTATGACTTCCAAGCATGAACTTATTTAAATATTTCTCTGTTCATAGTCACGAAACCACCAAACAAAATAAAGCAGTTATATCAAAACAGGCCGACCCCTGTGGCAGGGAGGAATGACAAGGAGGACTCCATCTTATCAGAAGAATAACTAATTACTTTATTATACTATATTATTCTATACTATATTAAATTATATTACATTATATCTAAACTGAATCTGCCAAGCACTCCACTGCACTCCAACTGCACAGGATCTCGTGACTGTCAGCCAACAGTCCCAACACACACACACACTTGGCCCTGATAGGCCAAGGAAACAAAACACCATCACTTTGGGTAAACAATCTCCATATTGCATTCTACTTTGGCACAAACACAGGCATAGCAAATAAGATAAGAATTGTTTTTCCTTTCTCAGAGGTTCAGAGAATGTGAAACCCAGAAATAATCTTAGGAAGAATTGTGCCCTGTTTTTCTCTGTGAAGAGAAATGTGGCGACACAGTTAAGATCAATACCAATTTCTTTTTGGTTTTGGGTCTCAATGGGATCTTTCTACCAATGGTTCTGCTCTAGCCCAGAAATGGAATCTTCTTGAACAAAAAAAGTAAATTTATCAGTTAAAGAATGGGTCTTGAACTGTCATGAGCACTGAGCATAGATGCTTTTCAACAGGCTCTCATGACATTTTCTGGTCATCGTGTCGCTCTGTTCAGGTTTAGCTGAAATCATACACCAAAAAGGAGTCACACACCAAAAAACTCCAACACTGACTTCATTGCTGAAGGAGACTCTGTGGTAGATCAGGAGAGATCTCTCTGTCCAGTCCAGGCTTCTTTTCTTGCCTCTCCCCAAATGTCCTGCTAATGCAGCAGGATCCCAGCAGGTGCTGGCAGTACACAATCTGCTCTGCAGCAGAGTCAATAAACACCATCTCCTCCAAGGCTCTTACTGACTTCACCACAGCTTGACATCTCAAGCATCTCACCCCTCCCGATGTCTCACAGTCCTTCCAGCTCAACATTCCCTGGCAAAACCTCTTTGCTAGCCCCTAGCAGCTCGTGGCAAATGCGGACAATCCCACTGCCTTATTAAACAGAAAAATTTTTCTCTCCGTGTTCTTCTTTATGTAGGATGCCATGCTACATTGCAAAGTCAATAAACCTGCTCTCTCGGTGTCCACCCCCTACCCACCTCATAGCTGCACCCCTAGGGAGGTGACAGTGTGTACCAGATCCGAAATTTAATTTTGGAGGCAGCTGTCAGAGATTATAAAGTCTCATGAAGCTATATAACAAATCATGCACTAAAATGAAATCTCAGTGTTGCATTAGCATATTTGATCAGATAGTAAGTCAAAATTACATGTTTTTAAAAGACATTACTGAATTTGTTACCTGCTAGAAACCATTAATTTGAATGATCTGTGCGGCGCAAAGCCTATGAATAATTCAACTCTGTGAACAATTTGAATTATCTGCAAGTAATAAACATTCAGCTGGTTTAGTAGCCATGTATCTTTTTCACCAGGGTTACTGATCAAATGGATCATGCCAGATTATCTTTATCCTTCTCTAGCTGAGCATAGAGGATGAAGTCAGTCAAGCTGTCTTTACATTTAAACCTTAACATTTCATCTCAGGTACAAAGAGTATGTGTGTTACCTTCTGCATTTTTTTAAACTCACACTTTGTATCATTGGTTTGGCAGTCTTAAAAATGTAATGCTTATAATCATCTGAGAAAAGCCATCTAACAAAGATAGGTCTCTGCTCAAGGAAAAACTCCAGTGCACTATAAATATGCTCTACTCCATTCCCATTTGGCTGTTCACAGCATTCGGGAAACCATGGCTCTTTTATGAGGTATGCAGATATTCCACTGTAGCCAGTGAGCTTCCAGCTTCCCTGAATTAATGTAGGAGCTAAGTTCTGCACGGAGCTCAACAGATGCAGCCCTCAGTGCCAGCACAGTCTGTAGTGCTAAACTACAGCACTGGTGCAGCTCACTGATGTTCTCATTTTAAATGAGAATTAACATATTGTCTCAATTCCCAGACTTTCCCCCTGCTTTGGGCCATGTTTCATTAATATAATGTTTGACGTGGGTTTCATTCTCTGCAATGACAAAAACCCCCAACTTGGACAGCAGTGGTGTGTCAGCAAACAGCCTCGTAGCTGTGATGCATGATGGCAGCCTCCAGCCTCATTGCTGGGAAGGACCTTTTCCATGCAGCACATCACTCTGAAAGGCTGTGCTGACTGAAAAACGAGACCAGAGTGATATGAAATGACTCAGAACTGACTGGCAAGAGTGCAGGATCCTGTAATTGCAGGGGAGTCACAAGTCCTCAGCTTCAGGAAAGTGGCTTTTCCATGCTCAGAGTGAGGGGGCGTTTGACAGAAAGGATAACCTGGGGCTGCTCTTTGCAGTAGCAAGAGACTTGCTTGGGAGAGTTGTATCAATGGACATTCCACTGATAAGTGTGTTTTTGCTAATGGAGAGTTTTATTATGCTTTCAAAACCAAAATCTGTCCTATCAAGGTATGTTGATACTAGCAAAAATCCCCCAAAACAGAAAAAAGCAAACTTTTCTAGAGCTTTTGCAAAGGCATAAAATGTCCTCTAGAGAAAACACATCTTTAATAGATATTAAACCAAGAAAGACTTCTAAGGCACATCTCTAAGGATTCATCCCATCCTTCATCTTCCACAACAGGAACAAAAAAAATCACAGGCAGATAGGAAATTCCTTGAAAAGCCCCCCGGGTCACCTAACAAATTTTACCTCACATTTCTAAGTCAAAGAACCAAAGCAAACACTTTAAATAACCTTATTAAAATTGTTTTTACATCCTCATTTTGAAGACTTAATAAGGAAGATTTAAAGAGCAACTTAGAAAGTCTTCTGCATAGTACCTTCTCACGAATGAGAAATTTTCTTAGACATGAACAACTTATCTATACAAGGAATTGAGATGTCAGTGAAGACTTTTGGAATTTTTTTTAAATTCAGTGGCATGAGGCCCCTAGGCCTGTTGCCATTAAAACCCAATGAGTCACCCAATACACACCTTGCTTCTCAAATTCTTCAAAGAGATTCAGGCTGGTAATGCTTGGGCCTGTGAAGATGATGTAGTTCTTCCCAGAGGCGTTCTGACAAAGGCTTTTGGCCACCATGCTGTGAAGCTGTGGTTTATTCTTCAAAGCATCCAACCCATCAGCACCACTCCCTTCTTTGAGATGGACATAAATCTTAAATGAGAAATGGTAAGAAAAGTTAGAAGGTTATAAGGAATCTGGAGGGAGCAGATGCAATTCCCAACACACTTGCACAGCTCATCTTGAGGCAAACTGAGAAGGCAGCAGACACTTGTTATAAAGGCTAATTAAAGTCCCTCTCAAAGGCCTGTTGCTTTTAAACCAATTCAGGTTAGCTGGCACAGCTACTGATAAATATGGCATACTTCACCTCCCTTCTGAGGCTCCTATCACTGTTGTGCAGTTTGAAGATTGTTTGCTTGGCAGGAAAAGACTCCAGTCATAACTGGGATTACATGTTATACTGAATCTGCACAGGCTTCATTGCTGCCAGCAAAAGGAGAGCATGGGAGCTTCAGTTTCAAGAAAAGCCAGTGTAAGATGACCAGAAGGAAATGGCCCATTACCTTCACTGCATTAATATTCAGATTTATTTCCCATTTGCAGTAACCATCAGGCTGTGACATAAGTATGTGTGCACCTCCATAAATGAGCAAAATGCACATCCAACCAGCCAGAACACCCTCATCAAACTCCCCAAGTACAGTGCTAACACAGATTCTTTATGTAGATCCTGGTTTGGAAGCAACCCACCAAAACAGTTTGAGCCATGCAGAGAGAGAAAATGTGTAACCCTTTGTTTGTACACAAGCCTTCTATTTTATTTCACTGACAGTATTTTAGAAGCACAATGTTCACCCCAGTTCAACACTTAATAAAGCCAACTAGGCATCCAACCTTCATCTTGTTCTAACATATAGCAGAAATAAACTGCTGGAAAGAGAAATAAGAAGAAGCAAACACTGTACTCTGTTACTGAAATACTACTGTAGTATCATGGAACTTGCAAATATTTAAATAAACAAACAAATGCAAATTCAGAAAAACTTGCCCAGGCCTGCTTTCATGACCTTGGCTCTGAAATACTCAAATCTTTTATGAATTACAGAAAAATTTACCTGTCAAAGAAAAAACTGAAACTTGTTCAGTATTCAGGGGCAGGGAAAAGTAATTTTGCCTTGGTTCTTGGAGTGATATATCCACCACAACTTTGTTAAATTTGTTTGAGAATTCAACCATGCAAAACATGCATCATTACTTTTCTGTATAGCTTATTTCTCTTACCAACAGACACTGTTAAAAATGAAAATTCATAGCAATCCTCAGAGAACAAAAATGCTCATGTTTGCACTAGTGCTTCCAGTAATTTGTAACTCAATGATCTTAGAGAAGAACAAAATTCAATTAAACAGCATCTCCCTGTTTTAGATGGTGCATCTCCCAGCAGTGGTATTCTGTGCAATATTCCCTAGCAATTCATGCACCATGGAATAGAACTCAACAGAACTCAATAGAATGTGTTACATATGAAATTTCTGGGAAATTAGACATAATTTGTATTTTGAAGGACCTGACATGCTGAAAACAAAGTTGGTACAAGGACAAATGTGCATTAATTTCAAAAAGTAGAGTGCATATTAAAAGGAAGTCTTAAATACACCATTTATCTTAAAAAAAAAAAAAACAAAAAAACCCAAAACAAACAAAAAAACCCCTTTTATTGATAGAAACAGCTCTCAGATGAGGACAAAGGCAGCAATGTCTGCAGACTCCCTGATTCCCTGATTCTGCTCCACTAATTTTGGATGGCTGTCAAATTTGTGCTTTCTCCAGTTCTAAGACTGAGGACTAGCTAATTATGATAAGTCATTTAGGTTATTAATCAGGGCTCCAGAAAGCCAGTGGAATGCATTCAAAGAACAGATTGTTGCAAATTTACAGCAAAGGTATTTAGTGATTATTGGCAACAAAACTAAGATTAGGTTACTAGTATGTCAGCACAGAGACCACACATCAAACACTCAAAATCTACAGACAAGGCAGTGGAGACAGAAGATGCAGACAGATTAGTTTCGACCTTGCATTAGCAGATAAGCTGAAAATAAAGCAGGAAATCTCTCTAAGGCTATAAAAGTGTCTTACACCTTACCTTCCCATATCCAGTAAATCTTAGAATCTCTCCCGCTCCATGCTTGCTCTGTGTTCCTCGTAGAGTGCTGCCTCTCCAAGGGACAGTCCTCTGCTGGTGTGCCAGCTGGTCCCAGCTGTGGGCTGGTTTGTGTCTGCAAGCAGCTCCTTCAAAGAGCATGCCCACCATGCAACTGGCCACTGAGATACCACTACTTTCATATGAAGATGCTACACACTTCACAGGTTTTGTTAGCACAGTTCTCTGTGCATCTGGCTGTGAATCTCAACCCCTTTCTCTGTTCACTCCCCAGTGCCCATTACTCAAATGTCCATACCCACTGCTGAACCTTTCCTCCTCCTCCAATGTTAAATATATTTTCTCCTTGGGCAGTTACCTATCAAAAACCAGCATTTTTTCTTGGCACAGTATTTTGTGTTTTGGAGAAGCATCATTCAAAGCTTTATCATGCTCAGCTTTACTGGGCTGATGGGTGACAGCAGCACAGTGTTGGAAAGCATAAAGGCTGCTGTGAAACACTGGCTGTGTACAGATAACTGGCAAAGGGATGGCTTCAAATATCTTTGCAATGCCTAGGATCCCATATGGCCTTCATTTTCCCTCATCCAACTTATTTCATTCTACCTCAATCCATTAGGATCCTACCAACTGAAGCCCACAGCACTTCCTGCCTTTCTGTAATGCATTAAAAGTGTTGTTTAGTAGTCAGGAATCTGCAGAAAAAGCACCAATTGCCAGAAATTGGCTGTTAGACCTTCATAGGCACAGTCAGAAACTGCTCCCCCAAAATGCTTGTTAGACCATTCACTAGACCTTCTGGTTTGTCCTGGGACATTAGAATTTTGTGTTCTTTCCATGCGCACCAACGGCTCAACAGCTGTTGCTGGATAACAGATGGGAGCTGCTGGCAGCAAACATCCTCTGCTTCTGTGCAGGACAGCCCAAGCAGTGCTGCTGGAATATCTGCAGAGATCTCTTTCACTGTCTGTCTTTTCTAATGGCTACCAATACATTTGATCTACAGCACCAACTGGGAAAACCTGTATGGATGTGACATCATCTGTCTCAGGAGGTGATTATGGGCTGAAGATATTTAACATGCAGGGCTTTTTCTATTCATTCCTCAATTATTTGTTGAATATCTGTTCTTTATCAGAACAGTGACATGCTCAATTGTGCCTTCTCTCTATCTGTGGCTGCTCTACTGCACCAGATACTTTCCAGTATGTTTTCATTACCTTCTTGTGGAAAATTCATAAGGTCTCACAGAAACTGAGTAAAAAACTGAACACTTAGGAACAAAAGTTACATCTTGACGGCACATTTAAGAGAATATGCCCTAGAAACTGAAGTACTGGTGGTTTTGCTCATATTTAAAGCTCAGATGGCGTATTGAAAGCACTTGTGAATAGCACATCCCAAATACTCCACCTTCATACATAATTGAAGCACCCCAGGGTACAATTCTCAAATGAAATAGATGACATTTGGAAGCAAAAAAAGGGGCAGAGATAGTAATAAACAGAAGGAAGATTTTGAAAGATATATTGTGCAAAAATACTTCGCAAAGGGCAGATCCTAAACAACCACGAAACAGAAGCCATGTTTTTAGATGACTTAGTTATAAAAGATAACTTTAGATGCTTTTAGTTATAAAAGCAAGATAAAAAAGTAAAGTAGTCATGACTTTTCGATCCTTGATAGCTATTGAAAAAATAACTTTATTTTTTCTACAGGCTTCACAGCCCACCCACAACTGTGCATTTCTCGCACTACTTTCTAGATCCTGCCTCAATTGGTCTTTCCCTCTCATCCTAAACCTCACCTTTAACTGTTGCCATTGCCAACACTGCTGGGAGATTCTCCTCTCCAGTTCCATCCTAAATCTGCTGCAGTTCATGCCCTCTGCTTCTTTAATGATCTCTTCCCAGACAGCTCTTGTCTAGCAGATATTGGCACCAGTGGTGGTGCTCTTACTGAGACCAGATTTTTTCATTTGTTCTAGCCTATCTTCATTCTCTTCCTGCTACTCTAAAGGCTATTTTCTAAAGGGTATGCAGGAACATACCATTTTCCCAACCCGTTCCCAGCTAGTTCCTGGTGTTCCTAATAAAGCTCTTTACTTGATCCCTTTCTTTTCCCCCTCTGCATTCTATTTAGAATTATTTCAATCTGCATTAACACTCGTGGATGCATCTAATATCTTTGTGCTGTGGAGTGACAAACATCTGTTCTGCTTGCACATATTCTTCAAAGTTTCTAGAAAGATCTTTGTGAGACTGGCAAAAAGATGCTGGTAGAGTTGACAATGCAAGTCCAATGTGGCTTAGAGTTCTTTGCTTTTCTTCCCTTGATTTCTTTGTCACTGAGGGCACAACAACATCTTACCTGCATGGCAGATTGACAACCCATGGGTCAACAACTCAAGGAGCAACAAATGCAGATTTTGCTCTGTACCCTCTCCCAGGCAGCCACATCTAGTTTAGGCAGATTCATTTTCTCTAACAGCTCCATATAAATAATTTCCTATTCTTTCAAATACCTAAGAACTGCCTGGCTTTACTCCCAATTACTGCAATCATCCTTCTTTACTTTGGCCTTGCTGCAATGTTTCTTGACATCCAGACAGTGCTTCAGCCCTCAGATGACTTGCCTGACCCTTTGCTTTAGCCATGCCAGCCTTCTGCCAGTTCCCTCTTCTTTGCAGCATCAAAAGGAAATGGGGCTGGAAAATGAAGACAGGCCTTTATGGTCTAGGCTTCCCCATTGATCTCCTAGACCATGTCAGTATAGTGATTCCTGCTCACACTTACCCTGTGAAGCCAAGTATCCACCAACCAATGTCACACAATCCCACATTTGCCTCTTTCCATGCTGCCCTTCTCCTGCCTGGTTGGAATCACCACCATCTCAGCAGAGCTCTTTACTTTTGCTCTTCAAAACCTTTCCTAGAAAGGATGCAATCCCCACAAGGCAATTGCTAATCAATGCATTGGTCCTCTTT